CCACACCTACTATTTCACCCACCCGGGATTTGTTGAGATCACCACCAGTTTCCCTCCTTTCCGCCTTCTTCTCCCGTATCATCAACTCAGCGTCGCTCCGTGGCCGGCCATAGCCCCCTATTGGCCTAGCACGTTTTGCGTGAATTGCCGACGCAGCGGCGAACAGAGAACTTCGGAATTTCGAAGGCCCAATCCAAGTATGCGGCGGCCTGCGCCACGTGGCGGCCCCCGACGGCCTAACTTTTCGGGACCACCTCCACCGCGGAGGGATTTCCCCGTAAGCCGTCGCCCACAGTGGCCCGTCCCCATCGGACCTTGAGTCCCTTGCGCACACACCCCTTATTCGCCTAATTGCATTCATACCCTTAAGACTCCCCCACTTTCCCAAAAATCCTTGGCACACCCCTTTTCGCACTTTCAGGCCCACATCCTACTCTGATCAGGAAGTCGCGCTGGGCGTGAGGTTGGTATCGGAGCCCGACACGTGGCTAGGGTCTTAGGATTGATAGCATGCTAATTAGGTGACCTGGCTAACTGTGGGCGACCCCGCCCTCGGAACGCGCAAAGACGCGACCCTATCGTCACCCGAAGTAGATCGGCTAACCAACGAGCAGCCAATATGGCTGCCAATGTGCAGAACCCGGTTCCGCAACAAAACGCTAATCCACCAAATCAACCCGCCCCACGTGCACAAGCTCCCATGACGCCACCTGATCTCTATTTGTTCGATCCCGCACACCATGTTGCAGGAGCATGGCTGGCCACACTTAGAGCCCAACAGTACACTGACAATGAAGCGCAGATCAACATTCCCGCCTGATTGGGGGGGGACGCTCATCATTGGTTTAGTACCTATGTATGGGTTGACCTCCCGACCTTTGAGCGGGATTTCATGAACCGATTTGACTACGTTCACCCCGAGCAAGCACTGTATATGATCAAGGACCGAGTGCAAAAACCTCTCGAATCCGTTGCAGAATATCGAAACCGGTTCTACAGAATGTTCGTAAAAACTGAGCGAGGTGAACAAGTAGGGAGAGACCTGTTCATTGACGGGCTTCGCAGCCGAACAATAAGGGCTAAGTTGCGAAAGCAATTGTCCCCCATCACTCACACGCTACAACAAATCATGGCTGCTACGGAAGAAATGGAACGAAAGTTCGCGGCGAACTTCGTGGAAGGAGAAGACTATCCTAGAGAAGGAGATTCGACCGAACTCGCACGAGCAAGGGCTGAGTTGTCTGCCTTGCCGAACAAGTTTGAAAACATGGGGTTTGTATCAGGACCTGTCACCTACATGGAACAGATAGGCCCCAAACGAGTGATCCTAAGTGAGGTTCCGAGCACGTCCGCTCCTGCGATGCCCCCACCCGTAAGGGCGTTACCCCCCCCACCAGTTGAGGCTCCCACACGTACGAACGAATCAGCAGCCATTTTCGAACTAACCAAAACTTTGATTAGTTTGATCCAGGAAAGCAAAAAGGAGCAGCGAGAGCACAATGCTCGGGTGGAAGCCATGATGAGGAACATGCGGCCCATTGCGGTAGGCGCCCCTCCGATGCAGCAAGGATTAGCCCCGGCACCTGCGATCGGAGCGCAAATAACCTGAATGTCTGTTATGCCTGTCATCAGCCAGGACATTTAGGCTGTGATTGCCCCCACCGACCCCCACAACAGCGAATCGGGGTCGCACCTATGGCTGCGGCTCCCATCGCTAACGGACCCGAACGAGTCGGAGTCTTGATGGAAGAAGTAGAGGGTGGGGAAGTGCCCTGGCCACCTCAGAAGAGGCCGCTGAGCTAATTCCGCTAGATCAGTACGTATCGCTGGGATATCCTGGGCTTGGAATGATCGGAACAATCAGACCCTCACCCGAACCGAAAGAAGTGGTGGAATGGCGACCGTCCTTAGGAGAAATGGAGTCGGGAGGACCCACCTTCGTCACAGGAGGGATCTATGTATTGAACATCATCCGGGCCTTGGACCATCGGATTCCTCTTCCGATCGGTCACCTACTCTCGATCTCCGAACAAGCCAACGAGCGAATGCTACAGCATTGCAAAGCAAACCGAAAGCGATTCGCCCTCGCCCGAACACCAAATGCAAAAGCCAAAAAACCCGCGCCTGAAGAAAACCCCGCAGGCACTTCGGATCCGATACGGGTAGGTTTAATCCAGAAAGATAATCATTTCCTACGGATTAAACCAATTCCGTGGAAGTCCGCAGAGTGCGATATTGAAATTTGGGGAATTCCGTACAGCGTGATTATAGATTCGGGAGCAGCCGTACTGGCGATCTCACTAAGAGTGGTCGAAAGGGCAGGTAGGAAAAATGACCTGATCATGCTTTCTGAGAAAGATCAGCTCGTTTTGGCTGACGAAGAAAGGATTAAAACCGTGGGAAGAATGAGCATTGTCGCTTTCTGATTGGGTAAAGTGCACGCGCTTGGGGATGTCGTAGTACTAGATGTCAATACGTACAACGTTCTTTTCGGACTTCCCGCTCTTGTGGCGTTACGAGCAAACCTGGACTTCGAACGACGATCGATCGTCCTCCGAAATACAGGAGGAAAACCTTACGCTTTGCCCATGTGATTGACCCTTCGCACTACTATTAACGCGGTTCCGCGGGTTTCGTCGATGATGGCGGGGACTCTCTGCATGATCTCCTGGGATGAATCCGCAGAGAGAAAGTCATCAACAGATGATGCGGAAAGCAGTGACGAAGATGATCCGGAGATCTTGAAATTGGTACGACAACGCGTTTACTACCCGCCGCCTAAAACGATAGCGAGAACGATGCAACTGACCAGTCGAAAAATTCAAAGGACCAAGGCAATGATCTTGGGTGAGCCCCTCGTGCAAATTTCGAGGATGGTCGACTCTTTGGAACGCCCTCAAACTCTGTACGAAGGAATCGCCCCTCTCCTCGCTCGATACAGCGACAAGAAGCATTACTGTGACATTACGGATCTCCCAAAGTCCTTACTAACATCGGCTAAAGAAGTGAGATTGCTACTCTTGGGGGCGGAAGCAAGCTCTCTGGAACCCCCTGGGCGTTTCAAAGCAGAAACAGACGGACTGGGGATAAAAATCGCAACTAAGGAAGTGCCATGGCGGGATGTTTGTGACGGGATAACCCCGGAAGGACACGTGGCAATCCGGGAAGAAGATGCCCAGATGATGACCACGGTGTTCTCCTAGCGATCGGACCATTCATTCATCTCGGCGCCTCCACCTGACTTGGCAAAACAGGCGAGCATGAAACAGATTGACGTTCGGATATGGGACCAACTTTTCGAACTGCACGTCCCACAGTACGTGCCGGCTGAAACCCACCGGTTAATTGCGGATATTCTAACGGAGTATCAAGGAGCGATTAGTGTGTCAGACACTGACATTGGGTCGTCGTTAGTAATCCAACATGAAATTTAGACAGGAAATCACTCCCCGATTCATTGCAAACCTTATGGGTATTCCTTGATTGAACGCAAAAAGGCTCTCGAACGAACTCGGGAGTTCGAAGCCAGCGGCTGGATTGAACCCGCYACCGGACCTTGGTCCTTTCCCGTAGTGTTAGTACCGAAGAAAAACGGGGCGATTCACATTTGCATTGATTATCGCAAGCTGAATGAAATCACGATCAAAGATGTGTATCCCCTCCCCCGGATTGATGATTTGCTGGATGCGATTGGATGTGCTAATTATTTTAGCAAGTTTGATATTCGGCATGGTTTCCATCATATTCTGGTAAGGGAAGAAGATCGGCCGAAAACGGCCTTTGTGTTATTTGAGGGCACGTGGCAGTGGGTTTGGTGTCCGATGGGGATTTGCAATGCGCCTGCCACGTTTCAGCGAGCGATGAACATGACGTTCCAGAATTTCGTCAACAAGACACGGCTGACACAAGGGATGATTAACTTCTGCGTGATCGTGTACATGGACGATATCCTGGTCTACTCGGAAACCTATCACGGGCACGCGCAACACATCGAATGGACATTTGGCGCGTTGAGAGACGCTGGGTTCAAGATTGCGCTTGAGAAGAGCGAATTTTTATTCTCGAAAATTTCGTTCTTGGGTTACGTCGTGACACGTGGAGGATTGCGGCCAGACTCGAGGAAAGTTACGGCGGTGAAGGAAGCCCCGGTTCCCACGTCACGGACGCAGGTTCGAGCCTTCTTGGGGTTGGCGTCATACTATCACCGCTTCATCAAGGGTTTTGCCGCGATTGCACGACCACTAACGAATCTGTTACGGAAGGACCAGCCTCTCAGCTGGGGCGCGGAGTGCCAACAGACCTTTGCAACCCTCAAGGACGCTCTGGCGACGGCCCCTATTTTGATTCGGTCGGACCCCTCGAAATCGTTCATTCTCATCACGGACTGGCAACCGGAAGCTATTTCCGCTATTCTGGCGCGGAAGGGGAACGATGGTCGCGAATACGTCATCGAGTACGCATCACGCACAGTGCCAGACGAACGTCGAAACGACTCCGCACCTCAAGGCGAGTTCTATGCGGTAGTTTGGGGAATCCAACACTTCCATCCGTATCTCTACGGACAGAAGTTTCGCCTCGTGACAGATCACGAACCTCTGCTAGCTTTGAAGAAGCTCACCAACTACACGGGCATGATTGGCCATTGGGCGGTGCGATTGCAAGAGTACGACTTCGATATCGTCCATCGAAAGACAGAGCGACACGGCAACGCGGACGGACTGACACGTCTGCATCGGCCTGCCAAGGTACCAAAAGGCGAGGAAATTACACCGTGGAAAGAGTCGGACTTGACCAACGAACCTAAGTACGGACATGTGGCAGTTCTCCCACGTGACAAGAAGCAAAACGGTGGCGATGGGTGATGGAGGTAACCCCACTACCCCTCTCTCTCCCCCTTCCTCTTCGTCTCTCCTGTCCCTGCCTGACAAATTTTGCTATTTTTGCGAAGCTACCTCCCGCGTATATTCGGTCTCCATGCGTCCTAACAGGGAAGGGTATGCAGATTGGATAGATTGCCGACAATGTGTCGCGCGAGCCCATGGCTCGTGCATCCAATGCAGGAACGATAGTAAACCGTGGTTATGTCCCTTGTGCCGGACCGACAAGATTCCGACTGAGGCTCGCTTTTTGGATGCCACGTCAGAAGGGTTGGAAAGGACCCGGAAATTTAGAAGGGCCGAAGTATGGACTGATATTGCCTTAATTGCCACCCTAGTAGGTAACCACCTCCAGGATTTCACCAAGGAAGATCGGAGGAGGGCTAACGAAAGGGCTCGGGATTATCGGTGGGTAGAAGGTAGATTGGAAAAATGGAAAACGGACGGCAATGGGATTTGGATGGTGGTACCGCATCCGTTCTTGCGGTATGACTGGGTTAAGACAGCCCACGAAGAAACTACGGCCCATTTTGCCGTACGAATCACGGAATCCGCTATCGACAAAAATGAGTGGTATTGGTCTAATATCCGCGACGATGTGAAATACATTGTCGCCAACTGTCAAGTCTGCGCCGCTGATAAAGTGCTGATTCAGCCACCAAGATCGATAGTGCCCACGGTTGTTGAACGGCCATTTCAAAGAGTAAGTATGGACACTACCGACATAATGGTGCCCCCTGGCCCTAATAGTTGCGAATATTCACTCCTATTGGTATTTGTCGACCATTTCTCGAAATGGATCGAAGCGTATCCTTGTCGCACACGGCAGGCCACGAAAATCGCGCGACATGTCAACCGTTTCCTCGCGATGCATCAGGATACGGAAGAAATCCTGACCGATAACGGGGCTGAATTCAGGGGAGAAGTGTTAAGAAATTTGGTCATACATGGCGTCGCCATACGGAACACTACACCCCACATGTCACAATCCAATGGGCTGGTCGAAAACGCTAACCGGGTGATAAAGATAGCATTGCGACGAAACATCGCGGCACGGGATCCGAGGCCCTGGCCCGATATCGTCGATCACATCCTGGCGGTCCATCGCGGAACGCCCCACGAATCGACGGGGTTAAGCCCCTTCCAATCAAGGACCAATAGCGTCGCTTGTGTTTCGATACCAAGCCTCCCAGATGAGTCTACATTGAACCGACGGCCCACCAGGGCCACGGCTAGGGACAAGGCCAAACGACACCTAGAGCTAATGGAACGGTCACTGCCCAGGCTAGCCCGAAAACGACAGAAAATGACCGCACTAGCCCAAGGCCGACAGGTCCGGAGCTACGAGGCCCGAAATGGGAATGCGGGTCCACGGCCCCAGTACAAATTGGGGGACGTGGTGCAGGTGAGGAAATGTGCTCGCCAGGGTAAGCTAGCGCCACGATGTTTCAGACGATATCACGTGATCGAGCTTGGCCCCAACGGCGTGGACACCGTGCATCTCGCCCCTGAAGTCTTTGGCAGCCAATCGGCTCGCCCGATCACACGCCACGTGTCCTATCTTCGCCTCCTCCCCTCTGCTCCGTCTCCTTCTCCCTCGGTCTCTCTTTTTGAGGAAGCCAACGACGACGGCTCTGACTTTCAGCCATCTCCCTCTCCTTCTTGCTCCCACTCTGCCACTCCGTCACCCCCGCCATCGCCATGAGCTTCGCCATCGAGCGAGCTTTCAGTGATCAGTTGCTGATGCCACGGGGAGAGATCTCAGCCATCCGCCAAGTGCATCATCCGCGGATCAGCCCTGACTTCATGCGCCTTGCGCAGTTTTTCTGCACTGAGGGTGTGTACGGCGCGACAGAGTTCCGGTTCACGAGCAACCCCCAAGTGGTGGTGCTGGCCGAGGCAACGGTGTTCCAACGGCGAGCGGCCCCAGGAATTAGCCACGTGTCTACCGTGGTAGTCTTCAGCGGCGACATCATCGCCTTCGATCCGGCGCGGCAAGCCACCATCAAAAGCACCTTGTACCGGTGGGGTCGCGATCTGGCCACTGATTGGGATCGACGGCCCACAAGGCACGGTGACGAGTGCTACCCTGTCGACGGCATCGACGTCAACACGCTGCGCACAACACTGCGCGAGCCACCGATCGTCCTCCCAGAACTTGCTCCCTTCCAGCCGCACAGATGAGCCGCGCGCCGATCTCGACGTTTTCTCCTCCCTCTCTCTTCCCCATCTTCTGGCAGTCCTCTCACTATCCTTGTCTCTCCTTCTGCCTGGAGCCGCTGACAGTACCTATCGTTGATCCGGATCGTTGGAGGTTGTGGCGTTCAGAGTTCGTTGAGGTCTCATTCTGCCTGCTACGAGTGGATTTGAACTGGACGTGGGAAGGCGATCGGAGGCCCGCGTCAGAGACCGTGGAGCTGCTCGTCATTCAGGCGTGGAAGACCAACGTAGCGGGAGACCTTCTGGGATTCATCTTTGGAGCAGTGGATCGGGGAAACTGATCACAGATCGTGCGCGAACTTACGATCGTGATCGCGTGACTGGCCGATGAACTCCCCCTCGATATCATCTCTCAGAGCGACGAAGAGCCCGTGCCATATACCCTCTCAAGGACTCTCGCCCCGAGCCTCCAGTGGTCGGCTTGTATCGAGGAGCGCTGGGCGGACGGTCGTTTTCCCTCTCGCAACGAGTACCTGGACATCCATAGCCTGACTAATCCCCGCTTCTTTCGGCAACCAACGGCGCTCGAGTGGGCGGCGCTGAGAGCGGAAGAGGAGGCAGAAGAAGAATCGGAAGGAGAATTGAGGAGAGAGGCCGGGGAATTAGCGGTCCGGTTGGCCGAGGACGAGGAAGAAGAACGTGAAGCAGAAGAAGAGTCGGCGGAAGCTGAAGAAGAAGAAGAAGAAGAGGAAGCAGAGGAGGAGACTTTGGAAGAAGAGGAGAAAGCCTATAGCGAGCACAATGAGGGCGAGCCAAGTGAAGAGGAGGACGAAGACGACGACGAAGAAGGGGAAAGCGGAGACGACCAAGAGCCGACGCACGACGACGAGCTCGGGTGGGTGCCAGGATCGGATCGACGAGAGGACCCTGAGGCTGCCGCGTAGCGCAAGAAAGAGGTCGCGGAGGGAAAGCGGTCGGTGATCGACTCCGAATCGAACGATCCTTCCAAGGATCCCGAGCCTCCCAAGCCGAAATATGGAGACCTTGCTGCCACAACCTCGAGCGCCGCGACGACAAGGCGCCGACCCCGATCCCGATCCCCGTCCCCCTCCGCCTCCGCCCGTCCCCCAATTCGTCAACGTGTCAATGAGGGGCTTCGCCCTTCGTCCCCGATCCATATACCACCATCCCCTTAGCTATCTCTCTTTCAATCAGTATTTCCATCGCGTCGTCTTCCCCCGTAATCCCTTCCCCATCGTCACCTTCCGACATTTCTACTCCGCCCGCCTAGAGCTGACTGTCCACCCCCACCCTTCCGCTCGGTGCGCTGTCCCCGATTAACCCCTCCACGTTCTACTCCTTAGCGCCGCGTGGCGAGGCCATAACCACATAGAGGTTTACTGCATCGTTACGGGGACCTTTCCCACGTGTGAAGACCATGATCGGTTTCGCACCGACGTCCTCCGAACCCTCGTTTCCCTTTACCCAGACTACCTCGCTTCTCTTCCCCGCCGCGGCCAGCGATTCCCCCGCTTCCATCGCATCGTCCGCTTTCAAGAGCTTCCCTACGACCTCACCGCGATCGGGCGCTTCATACCTGAGCTCACGATGGAGCCGCCTCGCCCTCCCTCATACGCGTACCGCCTTCCTTTCCCCCTTCCGGTTAATTACTGATGCAGCGGTAATGGACGCGGCGTCGGCACGAGAAGGAATCCGTCCTTGGATCGTCAAGAACCCAATCTGAGGAAGTAGTAGAAGAGCGATGTTGCCACGTGGATGATGTCCAAACGAAGTTGAACAGTAAGTGACATAGACATAAGTGCTCCGCGTGTCGATCGATTAGAGAAATCGACACGTGTCAACAAGCAAGCAGGAGCTTGCTAATATTGGAACCCCCTAGGCGTCACATATGTGACGAACCACTTTCTGTAACGCGCGATTTTCTGCGCGATTGCAATGAGGGGTCCTAAGCTGGGAAGGTTGGGCCAATTACGGGAGATCGGGATCGGTGGAAAATTGCATCAGTACCCTTGCTTTTTGTCCTTTTTCGTCGCTTCTTGTCGGATGTCTGGGTTCGGAGCTGGGTGTGTCCTGGGACGGACGGTTGATTGATTGGTCGAATGGATGTCTGGCGCGCCACCACGCGCAATTAATAAATATTAACGACGTTTCTTTCGTTTCGGTTTCGATCTTTTGGGCGCGGACATCGCGTGGGAAATTGCTTCGTTCTTTTGAAGTTTCTTTTAGTATTTTTCGAATTTTGTCGAGCCCCGATGGCTCTCGGAATTTCGGATTTTCCTTCTGGAATTTGTACTTTTTGCTTTTTCGCATTAGATAGGAATTTAGGAATTCGGTGATGAGGATTTTTCCTGCCGCGCGGCGCCTTTTGTCTACACGCTTCTTCATGCGGCCGCAACGGTACTCTGATTAGTGGGCGCCCTTAATCGTGTGTGTAACTGTAATTTTGGGAGGGCGACATTGTAACTGTATCTTTCTTCTTGCACTCCGTCTCTCCCGCCCTCCCTCTCTTTCTTTTGCTGAAATTTTTGTAAGTCGCTGCTTGCATGCTCGGACCCATGCGTAGAGAAGGGTTACGTCCCCCAAACCTCGGCCGATCATGCAGAACGCAGGCGCTCCCTCTCTAATCCCCACTCTAAGTCTTGGTAATTTCATGTTCTTCGCGCATGCATGCACGCTCTCTAATCCCCACTCTAAGTCCTGGTAATTCCGTGTTCTTCGCGCATGCATGCACGCTATAAATTTCGAATGCGCGATTAGTCATCTCTCTTAACCCGTTGTCCGAAGCTCGGGGTTGCGCGATCAGGAAGGGTCGGCACACGAGCGAAGTAAGAGGTGAGTAGAGTAGGAGTTGGGCGACCCGACGGGCTGGTGCCGAACGCGCGGGATTGACGTGGGCCACGACGAACTATGGGCACGGGCGAATCCGACGGGTGCGGGAGGACTAAGCGGGGTGACAACTTCGTGGGTTGGTGCGCGACGACGGACTGTCCGCATCGAAGAGAGAGAGAGAGAGGAGAAGAGAGTTGAGGTCGATGGACGCAGATTTGCTGTTTCTTTGTCTCTTCCCCCTCTTCATCTATGTACATACATTTTGATTGCGGCTCCGGGCGGTTTGCCCGTTCTTATTTTCGTTTCGGCTTTCTGGAATCTGGACTTGGGTTTTTGTTCACACCTGTCCTTGCGATTGCATTATGTGTATGATTGTCGAATGTATGGATGTATGAAGGTTATGCCTGCTTGTCTATCTTTTCGCAAAAAATCCCTGTCCTTGCTTTTTGTTTGTGTCGAATCCTTGCCTGCACCTGATGCCGCTGTAGATGGGATAAGACTCTGGCCCCGATAGCGATTTTGTTCTCGTTTTTGCTTGTCTCACGATGGGGTTGTGATATGGTTGCATCTTGCATAATCGAAACTTACGAAGCAATTAGACGATCTGAAGTCTGGCCCCGCGAATGCCGCACGAGAACACGTGTAAACGCGATCCGAGTCGCACCCTTACACGGATTCCCATGCGTCAATTTGCCCACCCAAAAAGATTCGCGGCGGTGAGGCACAACTAAGTTCGCCTGGCCTACACGTGTCCGTGCGTGGTGACGATAACCCGACCCGAGCTGTCCCATCTACGATGATACCATGACGCGATCTTGGAGCTCAGACTCATCCTACGACCCGGATTATTTCACCCCTTGGATAAACGAACTCATAAGGCTGCGATAC